ATAAGGACCGATCCCCACCCTGCAGTTCCCCAGGTCTCAGGATGGCTGCTGAAGACAAAGGTGCAGGGACACCTGCTGAGGTCCTCTCATTTTATCAAAAAACAAACAGTGCAGGACAAAGGAAATCTTTCTCCATCTGAGGAGGCTGTGTCCTCTTCAAATATTTCCTGCTGATAGTGTACAGGGTAAAGTATTTAATCTCTACTTAAGTCACCTAAATATTTTCCTTCTACCAAATCACCAGAAACTTGTAACTAACTATATTTTTCTATGTTAGTTGTCAGAAATCTATGGGCTCTTCAGAGCCCAAATTGTATCCTAATCACTTTAGCATTTTGCATATTAAATAAACTCTTTTGCATGTTATTAATTTCCCACGCGTTTTCTCACCTCTTAGTGCACATTGCTAGTATTTGGTTAAGCAGCTCGCTGTGTTCTATATGTTTTTATAAAGTTCTCAAACTATTTAGTGCCAAATGAGACAGAGATGGGCAGAATGAAAAAAGCACATAAATTATTGAACTTTCCTCTATTTTATTTTGTCATGTAATTTTTTACTTACACAAAATGGACTCACCATATATTAGGAGCACTTTATGATAGAATTCTTTAACATTTTCATAAAATAAACTTAATATTTTGTTCTGCATCCTTTGTGCTTCTCTCTTAGAATCATCACCAGAAACAAGTAAACACATGGATTTCATTGGAATTATACTAATTCGTGATTCTATGCTGCACTTTTCTTTCAGAATCAAGACAGCCACCTCCCCCTAAGCCTTCCTCCGCTTCGCGTTTTCCTACCAGTGCCTGCACACATGCTCCTGCAGCAGCCGAGCGCCTGTGCTTCCTTCAGATTTGCCATGTGAAAACATCTTCAGCACCTCGTCTTCTCCCTCCTACATATTCTTATCCCAAAAGGAAATGTTTTAGTAAATGACTTGTTCACGTCCTAGGTTTGATATGTGTTTATTCAATATGGAATCTCAAAATAAAATAGCAAAATATGTTTGAACCTGAATTCAAACATATTCATGCTGTTTGTCAAAAATGTCTTTTTCTCTATTAAATATCTAAACTCTGTAGCTATATTTATGAGTATCTTAATAATTATGCATATTTGTATGTGTTCATATAAAATAGATCATATATAAAAATATAGGCTTAGCAATTCTTCTTCCTTAGATGAGAAACTTACTGCAACTTCCAAAGCAAAAAGCGCCACCATGCATGTAGATTACAGCTCGTCTCAGGGCCTCTGACTTTCTTCTTGGCAAATACAAGCGGACTGGGATGTCAACAAAGTCCGTATCGATCACGGTGATGTGTTCGTCTGAAAGAGGCTGCGTATAATCCATCCTGAATATCATGGAAATAAATTCTTCATATCTCATAATGCCTGTATTTTCTAAACAAATCCCCTGTAAGAGCAAAACAAAATGTCACCAAATACATAGAAAGAAAGAGAAAGTACAAAATGGAAAGAAAATGAAGAATATGAACAAAAAGAAACAAACTTTTTAAGGCTGTGAAGATTTTTTTCAGTGACCTTGCCATATGTGATAGGTTCTTTTTTTTTTTTTTTATGGAAGCGGGGATTGAACTCAGGCCCTTGCGTTTGCCTGGCAAGTGCTTATACTACTGAGCCATCTCTAAGTGATCAGTTATTTAGATTAAAAGTCTAACAGAAAACATCTTTACTGGC